AAAAATATTAAACTTTATCAATTCATTTTTTTCTCGGAAGAAATTTTCTTTTTAACGCATTCAAATTTGCATTTTTTCATGTAAAGACGTACTCTTTTTTCTTACATGTCGGACTCCATTAACTTTCTTTCTGTTCAACATCTTTCTCTTTCTCTCTTTCTTCTTTACATACATGATAAAACAATTCTATAAACAAAAAAATGCAATATAGATAAAAGCATTTTCAAGGTCTCAAAAAGAGAACCACATCAGATAAATTAAGAACAATGATGGGATTTCAACATAAAAATCAAAGTGATTTTAAAACATTTCTTGAATATGATCGTGATAATGTAGCAACAGGCTTTCAGTCGTAATACACATCTTTCACGCAATTCAATTGTCACTTTTCTCAATAGGCTCGCAAAATAGAAGATAAAATAAAATTCTAATTGAAATCTTTTACGAATAATTCAATCCAATTATTCGAGTATCGTTTCTAAAAGTTCACCTTTTGTACTTTTTTCGTGCTTTTTGATAACGTTTTCTTCCATGTGAATATTTTTTATTATTTAATATGGGTCAGAGATGCACACGGCATGTTTTGTTTGTGCTCACGCGAAAGTCATCCACTAAACCTTCTGGGCGTATGTTCCATCAAAACTTTCTCGACTTGTAAAAATTGTTCTCACCTGTCGATCCATGTCGACCTATCGCCTGCTGTGCATTACATGATCTTTTTCATTTTAAACTGAATTTTGAAAAAGGATCATGCCTATTTTTTCCAAATCGAGAGAGTTTAGCGAATCAAAAAAGCAACGCATTTTCTAGAACATGATGGAAGAAAACAGAAGTAACAAAGTACTTTCATAATCACCATAGTACTATCGTCCTTTCAGGGGATAATGGTGAGTTAAAAGAAAGTCAATACCCCCACATCTACACCCTTGGAAATAATTGGAATTCAAATCGTTTTTTAGGATTTTTACTAATGCACTAAATAGAATATATGGGTGATGTTTCAGTGTATTGTCTTCACACGCAGTGCACCCACATTCATTACAGAAAAGATTCTTTTTTCTTTTCATAGATCTTAGTCGGATGAAAATAATGTGAAGAGGAAATTTAACTAATGACTTCTCTAGCAAAGTAGGAACCTGGCTCGCTGTAAGTATTCATTAGTTATCCCTATCCATTGCTGAACACTTTACTTACTTTCTTTTCTTGTTGAGCAATAGAAATAACAACAGGTGGATTAATGTTCACTTGCAGGAGCTGGTGTATTTGTAATATAGTTGTCTTTCTCTTTATACCGTCTATTTACTACATCATAATTTATGCATATACAGGTTGATTACGTTATTTTTAATAGTTTTGTGTCGTTTGCTGTTTTTATGCAATACATCGAAATTTTTTTATTTGAACACAGTTGGATAGAGCATCAGCTCTTCTATCAAATCATATAACTTGTTTGTTAGTTTCTCTGGCTCTAGCCCAAAATTTTGATCAATCTCAAACAAGTGTGAAGAAAAATTTTTTAAGGTTGTTGTCATGATTTTTAATAGTTTTATTTTTCATATATATAAACAAAAAAAAAGGACAATTATAAACGATGTTCGATATGGGAGCCTCGAGCTTTATATATCATTAAAACTCTCCTTGACCAGGAAGCTAATACTTTATCGATATACGTCTGACTCATCTTTTGCCACTCACACAAAAGCTTTTTTTTAAGTTCATCAAGAGAATCAATATGCGTTTTATTGTGTTGTTGTTTTAGATAGCCCCATATTGAATAATCCATTGGTGCAGCATCAGGACTAGCAGGCATCCATTCTTGTGGTGTTATACAATGAATTTTGTTTTGGTCCAAAAATCTAATTGTTTCTTTGGCGGTATGACTTGGTGCAGAATCTTGATGAAAAAACCATTTCAATTTTCGTCTTTTTGGAAATAAACGTGGAACATCTTGTGCTAAAAATGGCTTTAAAACCTTGTTAATGTAATAATTTGAATTAACTTTGGTACCAGGTGCAACAAAACGAAGTGCGGTTTTCCCTTGACTTGATACACCTCCCCATACCATAAAACCTTTTGGCCGAGAAGTGTTTTGTTGAATAATCATTCGATCATAGTCGGAATCAGTTTTTTTTATATAACATACTTTTCTTCTTCCACCAGTTTCATCTAAATAAAACCAAGCTTCATCTGTTGTAATAAACTTCTTATATCGACCACGTGCTAATTGCCGATAAAGTTGAAATGATCGTTGTCCACGTTTCATAACATTTGATGATGTTAACTTTTGAACTTTCTGTTTCTTTCGAAGAGTAAATCCAGAACTTTTGATAATGTTCAAGACAGTCGATTGACTGATGTGAAGATCTTTAGCAATGGCACGTTGGGTTGGTGGATCTTCGACGTCAATCTTCTTAATGACCTTCTTAATAATAGATGGTGTTTGTAATGGCTTTTTTCGAAAAATTTTAATTTTAGATTCAGAATTTCTTTGACGACCGATCTTTCGTTTGACATTTGACACAGTAGGTTGAGATACATGTATACCATCAAGTTTCAAAATGTTCACAATTCGAGGCTGAGAATATCCTTGACGTAATAGTTGCAGAATACGTCCTTCGACAATGTCAGAAATTTTATTACGTGGCATTTATTTGAAATTAATTTAAACGAATTGAACTAAAGAGGAAGGCTATAACTGACATCGAGAGGAAAGAAAAAATCGTTCAATATATGATGTGCACATGTTATCGGGAATACTATTAAGCATGATACAAGCAGTCTGTATATGAAAAATAAAACTATTAAAAATCATGACAACAACCTTAAAAAATTTTTCTTCACACTTGTTTGAGATTGATCAAAATTTTGGGCTAGAGCCAGAGAAACTAACAAACAAGTTATATGATTTGATAGAAGAGCTGATGCTCTATCCAACTGTGTTCAAATAAAAAAATTTCGATGTATTGCATAAAAACAGCAAACGACACAAAACTATTAAAAATAACGTAATCAACCTGTATATGTAGTTTTTCCTTCGATAATCAGCGCAGAGACCAGTTAACTTCAATCTGTTTTTATTTTGTTTGATTGATGCTGTTCTTAAGTGGAGGGTGCGCCCTTTTTCGTCCCCGCTCTTCCGAACGTCCGGTTATTTGTTCGGATGTTCGGAATCGAGGGTATGGCTGTGGCTGTGGGTATGACTGTGCAGGTGTGGGTGAAACAACATCTACACCCACCACACTCACACCCACACCCAAACATCCATCACTTTTTGTTCCGAAGATCCGTCATTTTTCGTTCCAAACATCTGAGCGACTTTTACTCCTAACATCCGGTGTTTTCTATTCCGATCTTCCGGATTTCTCATTCCGAACATTCGGTATATTTCAAAGCAACTGGGTTTCGGAAACGGTCATCTGTGTCCAATATTTGCAAAAAGACGGGGACGAAAAGAGAGTGCCCCTAATTGGATACGAAACGAAATTGTCAAAAGCTCGTCGCAACGCTGGACATTGATCGAGCACAATCACGATTAGTGGCACAGAATATAAAATAGTACGATCCTGTCACTTCACCTTCTATATACGTAACGATTAGACGTGTTTTTTCGTTCTTCTCGCTTTTTTAACTTTCGTTCCTCGCTTGTTTTAACAGCAGAGGTAACGGGTTCAAGGTTCAAAGCTCTCCGCCTTTGAATTTTCTTTATTAAATGAGTTCAAACATGTACTCTCAAAAACAAAAAAGACACAATGGTTTTAACAAGAACAGAAATGGACTTAATGATGGATATATAACAATTGATGAGGATATCAATCAAAGTACAATCATCAGGCATCAGCCTTCAACAGTATTAATTGGAGAATCACCAGTTATCACATCCAACAATACACAACAGGTTAAAATTATTAAACTTAATGGTAAATTATATGTCCCGGTTCAACAGGAATATCTTCATGAAAAGACAACAAATAAACATGTTTACAATGAAGCTCCACCAACAAATATGATGAATCATCATATAGACAACAACTTGAATTATACTTATGGTAATACTTTAGCAACACCAGATAACTATCACCATCTTCTGGAAAAGTCAAATTCAACGCCTAAAAGGAGTAGGGAGCAATTGAATAAATCAAATGAACAGAAGAAAAAGGCTAGACATGAAGATGGAAACTATCAGCAACAAACAAATAGGCTCTCGCCTAAAGGAAATATACCATCTCAAGGTTCAAAAATAAATATGATGTCGTCTAATTATCGTCAGACTGCGACAACAACAAAAACAAATATTAACAAATCATATACCATTCCAATGGATCATTTGAAAAGAGCAGTTGGTTGCAATCTTCCTTGTTTTATGATAGAACTTGACAAGAATGTCGCTCCACGTAATCTTCCATCTGCAGTTATTGCTTGTGATTTAATTAAAGACCATTTCAACAAAAACAATATTGATATAAATGGTTTTTCTGTTGCTCTATTTGTAGGACATCGTTTAAAAATAGGTATTAATAATATGGAAGATTATTCAAAATTTGTCCGTACGGACAAATGGCCAACGTCAATTAATGGAAAGAAAATAGAATTGAACAAACCAAAATTTGTTCCTGAATGCTTTACGCTTGTAGTACGATACGTTCCTCAGGAGCTTTCAATCCAAAATGTTGCTGATGAAATAAAACGTTCAATCAATTCTGCCGACAATTTCAAACAAATTATGTATTCATTTAATCGTCCTACAAAGGATATAAGATTTACAATATCCGATTTAGCTGAATATGAAGGTGCATTAAAATTAGGTCGTTTATGTATTGCAAATCGTCTTCATCCAGTTACAAGATATTTGCCAGCAAACAAATTAACTTTCTGCACCAATTGCTGGCAAATCGGTCATGTACGTACTTCTTGTAATTCAAATGTGCGTAAATGTCGAATTTGTCTTAAGGTCTTCGATCGTGGTCATATGAGCAAATGTTCGGGTAAGCCTTGCTGTGCACAATGTGGGCTCGATCATCATTCACTCGATCCCAACTGTGAATACATTCAAAACTACAGACAAAAACTGAATCAAGAAGTTAAACAAGCATTTAGAGATGGTACAATTAATAGAAGAACTGTTCAACTTCATCATCAACATCAAGTACCTCATCCGGGATCAAGTTATGATATTGATTATTCTCCAGTATCGATCATCAACAACAACACAAAAATGGTAGAGAATAAAATATGGTCACGTACAAACTCTCAATTAGTAATAAACAACAGCACCTTCTCCAGCACTTCGATTACCTCCATGCTGGTGAAGATGAACCAAGATTTAAAAAATGAAATGCATTCAATTAAAGAAATGATTTTGGAAAAATTAGATGAGAAAATCAATATTAACTCAAGTAATATTCAATTACACCAAGTTAGTTTGTGCACAATCAATTCAACAATCACAAAAATTTTACAAAATGTATTACTTCCAATGGTAAACCTTATTCCAGATTCAAATCTTGAATTGAAACAACAAATATCATCTGCTGTTCAAGAACTGGAAGTACCGTTTCGTTTACATGCAAATCATATGCGTAAGAACTTTAACATCGGTCACAACAAACAACAATCAAACAACATCGATCCAACAGTACCTATTAACAACAAAATTAATCTAAACCAACCACCGTCTTTATCACCATTAAATGATACACCAACCTTAATAGAAGATTCGGACCGAATGGTGGACGATAACTAGTATTGACGGCATCATCTATTCTAAATGTCAATGGAAGTTCTTTTTATCCTCAATCAGTATCAGATAAGATAGAAAAAGATAAAGAACGACTAAGAAACTGGGGATTCTCTAGGAAGATTGTGGAAAAAATATCAGTTTATCTAACAGAATGGTATTCTATGCCCTTGAATGAATCATTACAATATTGGGAACACTTCCACATGGACGTCAAGAGTGTTAACTCTCTCTTGTTTACGCACCCTTTAAAGATTTGTTTATATGGTGTAGAAGGATGGAAAAGTCATAGGTTAGAAGTAATCGATCTAATTTATTCGGTAGAAGCTTCTGTCTGCGTATTCACGGAAGTTGGTGAACAAGGAGATGATTTTAGAATTCCAGATTATAACACCTTTTTATCAAGCTGGGCTGAATCGATCGCGTGGTGTATGTATATATGTAGGTAAAAACTTGAAAGTGGTTGAAGTAGACACTTCGATTCCAAACACAGTTGTGGTTGATGTTTACGGACTAAGTGAACCGCTTAGAATAATTGGAATTTATTGGCCTCCAAACCAACAGAGAAACTTAAATGATTTATCCGAATTTGTTATCAATAACACAATAATAGCTGGAGATTTTAATGCTGCAACAATTGACTGCGAAAGTCCTAATGATGATAATCGTGGAGCTTTACTTAAAAAAAATGGATGGAAGAAAACAACCTCTTATATATAAAAAATACCTTTAATTCCTCAAAACGCTCCAAAAGAAACATTGATCATCTTTTTACAAATACCAGAGATGTAACAGGACAAACTATAGCCTTTGGCACCAGCGACCACTGGCCCATCATGTATACTTCAAATACGATTAGCTATCATACTCATTCTTTATTTCCTCAGACAAATTGGAAAGAATATGAAATTCTTTTAAGTTTGCTTCAGGACTTTTGGCTTAATCTGCAAAAGTCTATTTCATTAGATGACTGGTACAAACACTACATTATATTTTTAGGAGCAGTAAAAAATCGAGTAACAACATGGAAAAATAAAGAAAAATTTAAACCAGCTCTACCTGAATTTATTCTGAATAAACTAAAAGAGTTGAGGAAAATAAGAAGTAATTATTATCGAAAAAGAAGATATGATATTGACAATGACTGCTGAAAGAATTTTGCTGAGAACATTAAACAGAGAGGTTCAATCAGATATATCAAATTACCGATCAAAACATTGGTCTAGCTTCCTAAAGAAAATTCAAGAAAGTAAAATTAAAAACGATGTAGCCTTCTGGTCACATCTAGGGAAATTATATAAACCTAAATCACTCCCATTCTCAAAACTGAAGGTGAACAATGATGTTATAACAGAAAAAGAAAAAATAGCACAAGAATTATATAAATATTATACAGATCAATTTCAACCTCCATCTATTGATAGTAATGACCCTCACGATACAGGGAGAGAGAATGAATTCCAAGAAATATTAAAAACTTTCTCAAACTCGATGGAAATAGAACAGACAAATATAAAAGAAATCTGTGATGCGATACGATCTCTTAAACCAAAAAAAATCAGCAGGTTGTGACTCTGTATCGAATTTTATGCTCAAGTTACTTCCTCCAGGCTATTTGCAATGCCTCTGTAACTGCTCTAACCGGTGGCTAAAAGAATGTAGATTCCCACATGACTGGAAAGTAGCCAAAGTCATTAGCTTGAACAAATAAAAAGCTGGTATTCCTAGAACCGATCAAGCCCGCCATATATATCTCTCTTGGCAACGCATTCAAAAATGTTTGAAAAACTTTTGCTAGCAAGAATTCGCTATTGGGCAGAATCGAATAACATTATTTCGGTAGAACAGTCGGGTTTTAGACCGAATTGCCTAATTCAAAGAAGAGTTTTGTCTATCTATCAAGAAATTCAAAATAACTTAGCTGCCAATGTGTCTACCCTGTCTATATATGTAGATTATCAGAAGGCTTATGACAAAGTATGGCATGCAGCTTTAATAGTAAAACTCTATCGATTAAATATTCCAAAGGAATCATTGGAAATATTATGGTCCTGGCTATCCCAACGATCAGCTTTTGTTGCCTATGGTGATATCAACACTAATCAATTTTCAATTTCCATTGGGCTAACCCAATGAAGTAGTTTGAGTCCCTATATTTTTATTATATTTCATTCGGATCTCATACAATGTACAGGTGCCTTCTCGACACATATTTTTCCAGATGATCTTAACGTGTTAATTAGAGCCCCGATCGAAAAGAAATTAGAGCCAATGCTACAATTCTTAGAAAAAGAGGGCTCCAAAGTATGTAATGATTTATTTCATTACGCTAGAAGGTGGAAACAACCAATAAACTTGTCAAAGTCAGTTTATCAAATGTTTCACTCTCAGATTAATTTACGCTGCTTTATAGTAACAATGAACAATATTCCTTTAGAATGTGTAAAAGATTTTAAGTACCTCGGGTATAACTGGACAAGTAAATTGTCCATGTATAAAACGATATCTAATTGTCTAGAAAAGGTTCAACGGTCGTATACTAAATTAAAATGGTTGAAGCGCAACAGAGGGATCTCTACCGAAGTTTTGAGGCAATGTTTATTTACATATTCATTCCCCTTTTTCTCTTGGCTTTTTTTGGGGTGTGGGTATGCGTGTGGGGTGTGCGTGTGGGTGTGGGTGTGGATGGGTGTGAGTGGGGTGTGGGTGTAGGTGTGGGTGTGTTGGTGTGGGGTGTGGGTGTGTGGGTGTGGGTGTGTGGCTGTGGGTGTGTGGGTGTGGGTGTATGTGTGGGTGTGGGTGGGTGTGGGTGGATGTAGGTGTGAGTGTGGGTGGGTGTAGGTGTGAGTGTGGGTGTGGGGGTGACCATCGTTTAAGAGATGATAGACACCCACACCGTCTTAAACGATGGTCACACCCACATTCACACCTACATCCACCCACACCCACCCACACCCATCCCCATCCCCATTCATACACCCACACCCACACCCTACATCCACTCACACCCACACCCCACACCCCACCCCCCTCCCGCCGACACCCACATCCCACATCCCACATCCCACAAGCCACACCCCACACCCACACCCTACATCCACCCACACCTACACCCATACCCTACATCCACCCACACCCTA